GGACCACTTTTGAGCATAAAGTTGGCCCTCTGGTGTTGACGCGGGGCTCAGTGCTATCATGGGACGAGAGTTTCTTATATAGAGAGTTCTACAAGCAGCCAAAATCGTAGGTTGTTGTTATCAGATATTAGTGAAACGTCTTTTCCCGGCAGTAACTTCTTGAGCCTGGACTTAGAATTTCAACTATGGGGATTTTTACCACCACCACCACATCAAATATTAACTTGGTCACATAAATTGTTTTTTTCTTAAAGTTAAAATGTTCAATGTTTAGTCCTACTGTGGTTGCGTAAACACTGGGTCATGCAGCTCGTTAACTCAGGCTGTGGTTGTTGTGTTGGTGACAGCTTCTACACCTTAAACACTGGGTCATGCAGCTCGTTAACTTAGGGTGTGGTTGTTGTGTTGGTGACAGCTTCTACACCTAAACACTGGGTCATGCAGCTCGTTAATTCAGGCTGTGGTTGTTGTGTTGGTGACAGCTTCTACACCTTAAACACTGGGTCATGCAGCTCGTTAACTTAGGGTGTGGTTGTTGTGTTGGTGACAGCTTCTACACCTTAAACACTGGGTCATGCAGCTCGTTAACTTAGGTGTGGTTGTTGTGTTGGTGACAGCTTCTACACCTTAAACACTGGGTCATGCAGCTCGTTAACTCAGGGTGTGGTTGTTGTGTTGGTGACAGCTTACACCTTAAACACTGGGTCATGCAGCTCGTTAACTCAGGGTGTGGTTGTTGTGTTGGTGACAGCCACACCTTAAACACTAGAACAGAACTTTGCATATATACCTTTTATACAGTGTCTCTCTGTCTGTCTGTCTGTCTGTCTGTCTGTCTGTCTGTCTGTGTTATTATTTTATTTATATGTGTGAATTTAAGTATACGTATGTCTCTCTCTCTCTCTCTCAGGTATGGTCCCGTGGTCCTCACACACCTGTAATTAAGGTGAGATACAGGTATGTCTCTTCTCGGCTTGTCTTATGCAGAAGAATGGATATTGCGGGTATTTCAGGGTATTAGGTGGATATTGTGGGTATTTCAGGGATTAGGTGGATATTGTGGGTATTTCAGGTATTAGGTGGATATTGTGGGTATTTCAGGGTATTAGGTGGATATTGTGGGTATTTCAGGGTATTAGGTGGATATTGTGGGTATTTCAGGCATTGTGGATATTGTGGATATTTATGGGTATTAGGTGGATATTGTGGATATTTCAGGGATTAGGTGGATATTGTGGATATTTCAGGTATTAGGTGGATATTGTGTATTTAAGGCATTAGTGGATATTGGGTATTTCAGGTATTAGTGGATATTGTGGGTATTTAAGGGTATTAGGTGGATATTGTGGATATTTCAGGTATTAGGTGGATATTGTGGATATTTGGGTATTAGGTGGATATTGTGGGTATTTCAGGGTATTAGGTGGATATTGTGGGTATTTCAGGGATTAGGTGGATATTGTGATATTTCAGGGTATTAGGTGGATATTGTGGGTATTTCAGGGTATTAGGTGGATATTGTGGGTATTTAAGGGTATTAGGTGGATATTGTGGGTATTTATGGGATAGGTGGATATTGTGGATATTTAGGTCCCAGGTGCATTGTGTGTGGATGTTAGGTTAGGTTAGGATAGGTTAGGGTTAGGTTAGGTTATGTTAGGTAGGGGTTGTGTTAGGTTAGGTTAGTGTTAGGTTAGGTTAGTGTTAGGTTAGGTTAGTGTTAGGTTAGTGTTGAGTGTTAGGTTAGGTTAGGTTAGGTCAGGTCAGGTCAGGTCAGGTCAGGTCAGGTCAGGTCAGGTCCAGGTCAGGTTAGTGTTAGGTCAGGTCAGGTCAGGTCAGGTCAGGTCAGGTCAGGTATCTTATCACCAATAAAATTCAAGGTATTATTTTCTCAAGGTAAGTCACTAAGTTTTAATTGATTCCTTCCCAGTGTAGGTTAAGGCTCTTCCTCCTCCTCCTCCTCCTCCTCCTCCTCCTCCTCCTCCTCCTCCTCCTCCTCCTCCTCCTCACACCTCCTCCTCCTCCTCCTCCTTCCTCTAAATTACTCTAAATTGTTTAACTAAGGTTAGAGTGTTGGAGGGTGGAGGGAGTGTTGGAGGGTGGAGGAGTGTTGGAGGGGTGGAGGAGTGTTGGAGGTTGAGGAGGTTGGAGTGTGGAGGAGTGTTGGAGGTGGAGGGAGTGTTGGAGGGAGTGTTGGAGGATGGAGGGAGTGTTGAGGGTGGAGGGCGTGTTGGAGGGTGGAGGGAGTGTTGGAGGGGTGGAGGGAGTGTATGTATGTATGTAACTATGTATGTATGTATGTATATGTATGTATGTATGTATGTATGTATGTATGTAAGTATGTAAGTCTATTCGCTCTTAAAACAAAATATCGGTTATAGGTTCGGATAAACGAGTCCTCGATATCGGGTCTTCGGATATCGGTCATCGGGCGTGGTTTGGTTAGGTTAGGTTAGGTGATATAAGTAAATCACTAGAGCAAGGTGGCCACAGGAGTATGGTGGCCACAGGAGTAAGGTGGTACCAAGAGTAAGGTGGCCACAAGAGTAAGATGGCCTCAGAGGTAAGATGGCCACAGGTAAGATGGTCACAGGAGAAAGGTGGCCACAAGAGTAAGGTGGCCACAAGAGTAAGATGGCCACAAGAGTAAGATGGCCTCAGAGGTAAGATGGCCACAGGTAAGATGGTCACAGGAGAAAGGTGGCCACAAGAGTAAGGTGGCCACAAGAGTATGATGGCCTCAGAGGTAAGATGGCCACAGGTAAGATGGTCACAGGAGAAAGGTGGCCACAAGAGTAAGGTGGCCACAAGAGTAAGGTGGCCACAAGAGTAAGATGGCCTCAGGAGATGGCCACAGGAGAAAGATGGCCACATGAGTAAGATGGTCACATGAGTATGGTGGCCGCAGGAGTAAGGTGGCCATAAGAGTAAGATGGCCACAAGTGTAAGTTGGCCACAGGAATAAAGTAGCCATAGGAATAAATTGGCCATAGGGGTATTGTGGCCACAGGTTTTAAGATGGCCACATAAATATGGTGGCTACAGGAGTAAGGTGGCCATAGGATTGAGATGGTCACAGGAATAAAGTGGCCAGAACACCCCAACACCACATACAGGTCACATAACCATACACAACCCTGGGATTATCACCTTTAACTGCCACAGCCTAAGAGTGTAGAGGTCTGGGGCAAGAGGGTGCTATACCTTATAAACTCGACAGAATACAGTCCCCAGGGGTGCTGTGGGGGCTGAACAAGGTAGAGATGGTGGTGAGGGCCCCTTAGGGATGAGGGGCTGTCGTTGGAGAAAAGCTCATGGCCATCTAGAGTGGGGGGGGGGCCATGGCCATCCAGAGGGGGGGGGCATGGCCATCCAGAGTGGGGGGCCATGGCCATCCAGAGTGGGGGCGCGGCCATCCAGAGTGGGGGGCGGCGGCCATCCAGAGTGGGGGGCCATGGCCATCCAGAGTGTTGAGTAAGGTTGTTTTACTGGGTGTGTTTGGAGGGCTGTAACAAGGCACTATGATAGTTCGTTATATCAAGGGTGTGTTAGAGGTGTCGGCAGCTTCCATTATTGAACTTCAGTATGCAGACGACCTCACCCTTGTCGCTCACACGACCTACAGGAGATCCTGAACACCAACACAGATGCATATGCACACTTCGGCCTTGAGGTGAATGTACGTAAGACTCAGATTCTCTCTCAGCCTGCCCCTGGTTCAGCCACCCCTCCACCATCCGCCCAGCTTAACGGTACTACCCTCTCTAATGTTACCCACTTTCAGTATCTCGGCTCCACCTGTCCACCACCGGGACATCGATGAAGAGATTCAACATCGGATCAGATGTGCATCTCAAGCCTTTGCAGACTCTACCCGTGTCTTCAGCTGTAGGAGCTAAATTATCTACAAAGTTACACGTATATCGAGCAGTGGTCCTCCCCACCCGCTGTATGGCAGTGAGACATGGGTCACATACAGGAGGCACCTCAAGGCACTTGATAACTCTCACCAACGTAGTCTACGTTCTATCCTCCGAGTTCGCTGGGAAGACAAGAGAACAAATGCCAGTATTCTTGCTGACACCAACTGTAGGAGCATCGAGGCTACCATTATCCATGAACAACTACGCTGGACTGGCCATGTTACCCACATGGACGACAGTAGACTGCCAAAGCAGCTACTTTACAGTCACCTAATGAATAGTAAACGTAACGCTGGCGGGCAACTGAAAAGGTATAAGGATAGTCTTAAGACAAACCTGAAAAAGTGCCAAATGGACCCCTCACCTGGGAGACGATTACTCCACACCGTAACGCTTGGAGGAGCACCACGAGAAGGTGTCAATACTTTCGAGTTAGCCCGACTGTATACCGAGGCACAAGCCTACGCCGGAAAGACGCTATCACCGTCCCTCCCGCACTAGATGTAGCCCCCACGTCCAACATCTGTGATCGACCCTGCCGGTCCCGTATCGGCCTCTTTAGTCACCTCAGAACTCACCAACGAAGGTGACATCCTTAATAACTCATATCATTGTATCATATCTGGATGATACTCGATTACCAGTGACAGTAGTTGTGTGTGTGTGTGTTATAATAGTGTATACTTTATGGGACACAATATATTATGGTATATGAGGGCTGTCACTAGTCACACATAACATTTCAGGGGAGCCTATCTACCCCCACCTGCCCAGATGGTTGTTTGAGCTGCTGTATAATTGTGTATGTCTCAAGCCGCCGTCTTGTCATGTGTTCGTCGTATCATAAACAAGGGAAGCGACCCATCCTGTCTTGTCCGAACCCTTATCTTCAGTCTTCGTTCACCATAAACCTCTTAAAACAAACGCGAAACTTAATTCCAAAATACTAAAACATATAACAATAATTAATTTTATTTATTTTTTTTATTTTTGTAGTAATTTATTTTAATTATTGTTGTTAATTGATTTTTTTAGGGGAAGAGTTGTAGGTGTTCGGACGTTTCCCGTAGCTGTAAGTGTTTATGATATGGACGAAAATACTCAGTGTCTGTTGATTAGTGGTACGGTGAGGTCACGCGTCGTCTTCGGTGCCTGAAATTACTAGCACTGCCATAAGGATCTAACTTGACCTGACCTACTCTAACAATCCTAGCCCATTGAGAGAACTCGTTAAAGCACTCAAGTAACACTATAGAAAACAGTGTTACCAGATCAAGAGGAGAAGAGGAATGACCTTTTGTGAACTAGATGGCTGGTAAAGCATTCAAGTCAATTGTTAAGAGAATGAAGCCTCGGGAGAAGCAAGATCAGGGAGCGGACCTCTTCAGTAGCAGCCAAGGAGGTGTGGGTGGTTGCGTTGTGTTGTCGGTTGTGTTGTGTTGTGTTGTGTTGTGAAATATGCCTGTAATTTTTGAAGATATTGCTATATAATGTGCCTGGTTTTACTTGAGTCATCACCCTAGTTTATTTAACCTGAAAATTAACCTAACCTAACACTAACCTAACACTAACCTAACACTAACCTAACACTAACCTAACCTAACACTAACCTAACACTAACCTAACACTAACCTAACACTAACCTAACACTAACCTAACACTAACCTAACCTAACACAACAACACCAACACTAGCCTAACCTAACACTAACCTAACACTAACCTAACACTAACCTAACACTAACCTAACACTAACTAACCTAACCTAACACAACACTAGCCTAACCTAACACTAACCTAACTAACATAACCTAACACTAACCTAACATAACCTAACACTAACCTAACACTAACAACATACAACACTAACCTAACCTAACACTAACCTAACACTAACCTAACACTAACTAACACTAACCTAACACTAACCTAACACAACACAACACTGCACACTAGCCTAACCTACACTCACCAACCCTAACCCCTACACTAACTAACACTAACCTAACACTAACCCAACACTAACCTAACACTAACCTAACACAACACAACACTAACTGCCCACAACCCTAACACTAACCCAACCTAACCTAACACCTAACCTAACACTCAACACAACCTAACCCACAACACTAACCCTAACACTAACACTAACCTAACCTAACCTAACACAACACAACACTAACACTAGCCTAACCTATAACCTAACACTAACCTAAATAACCTAACCCAACACTAACCCAACACTAACCTAACACTAACCTACTACTAACCTAACACAACACAACACTAACACTAGCTAACCTAACACTAACCCTAACCTAACCTAACCCTAACCTAACCTAACCTAACACTAACCTGAACCTAACACAACCTAACACTAACTTCTCTAACACTAACCCTAACCTATACTAACTAACACTAACCTACTAATAACCTAACACAACACAACACTAACACTAGCCTAACCTACTAACCTAACACTAACCTAACACTAACCTAACCTAACACTAACCCTAACACTAACCTAACACTAACCTAACACTAACCTAACACAACACAACACTAACACTAGCTAACTAACACTAACCTAACCTAACTAACACTAACTAACACTAACCTAACCTAACCTAACACTAACCTAACACCAACACTAACCTAACACAACACAACACTAACACTAGCCTAACCTAACACTAACCTAACACCTTCAAACCTAACCTAACACTAACCTAACACTAACCTAACCTAACACAACACAACACTAACACTAGCCTAACCTAACACTAACTAACCTAACACTAACCCTAACACTAACCTAACACTAACCTAACACAACACAACACTAACACTAGCCTAACCTAACACTAACCTCTCAACACACTAACCTAACACTAACTAACACAACCTGCTAGCTTAACCTAACTAACCTACTTAACACTAACTACACTAACCTAACACTAACCTCAACACAACCTAACTACTTCTAACCTACACCAACCTAACCTAACCCAACACTAACCTAACACTAACCCTAACCTAACCTAACACTAACAACACTAACCTAACCTAACCTAACACAACCCAACACTAACCTAACCCTAACACAACACAACACTAACACTAGCCTAACCTAACACTAACCTAACCTAACACTAACCTAACCTAACACTAAACCTAACCTAACACTAACCCAACACTAACCTAACCTAACACAACACAACACTAACACTAGCCTAACCTAACACTAACCTAACCCCTACACTAACCTAACCTAACACTAACCTAACCTAACACAACACAACACTAACACTAGCTAACCTAACACTAACCTACCCAACACTAACCTAACTAACACAACACAACACTACTAACCTAACCTACACTAACCTAACCTAACTAACCTAACCTGCACACTAACTAACACTAACCTAACCCTAACACTAACCTAACCTAACCTACACAACACTAACACTAGCCTAACCTACACTAACCTAACCTAACATAACCTGCCTAACCCCTGCACTAACCTAACACTAACCACAACACTAACCTAACACTAACCTAACACTAACCTAACCTAACACAACACAACACTAACACTAGCCTAACCTAACACTAACCTAACCTAACACTAACCTAACCTAACACTAACCTAACACTAACCTAACCTAACACAACACTAACACTAGCCTAACCTAACACTAACCTAACCTAACACTAACCTAACTAACCTAACACTAACCTAACACAACCTAACACTAACCTAACACTAACCTAACTAACCTAACCTAACACAACACAACACTAACACTAGCCTAACCTAACACTAACCCAACCCAACACTAACCCAACCCAACACTAACCTAACCTAACACTAACCCTAACACTAACCTAACTAACTACACTAACCTAACCTAACACTAACCTAACACTAACCCAACCTAACACTAACCTAACTACCTAACCTACTTCTAACCTACACTAACCTAACACTAACCTAACCTACTACTAACCTTAACCTAACCTAACACTAACCTAACCTAACACTAACCTAACCTAACACTAACCTAACCTAACACTAACCTAACACTAACCTAACACTAACCTAACACTAACCTAACCTAACACTAACCTAACACTGACCTAACCTAACACTAACCTAACCTAACCTAACCTAACCCTGATGAAGTAGCATTAAGAATGTTTTATATTTGAAATAAACTACGTCAACAAATTATCAGAAATATCCTTTATATTATATTATATTGACGGTAAAAATAATGTCTTGTATTAAATAATCTTTAATATTTCCAGTGTTTGAGGAAGTACAACTGAGGCAACACAGCAGAAGGCACTGTAGTGAAGATGCCAAACGCTTCACTGTGAACTTAGGTGTTGAAGATCTCTCTGCTGTACCCCGGCCGGAGTCCATGGCAAGATTCTACACTGACGATGATCTTGGTGTGATATCTAGGAGGCGAAGTAGCTTACGTCTTGGGTCTACTTCTGATAATGAGGAAGATCTTACACCTTTCCTCCTGAGGGAATACCTACGTAAAGAAAATGCTGAGAGGTATGGGAGTAGTGAGGATATGAAGGCTGGTACCCGTAGACAAGATAAGGAGAATAAACTCTGGGAGAGAAAAAAATCCCTAATTGTTTTACCTGAAGAGGGAAACTTGAAGGAGGGTCATGAAGAAGACAGCATGAGAGGTTTAATACAGAGAACGAGAGATGGGTTGTACCTCTCACTACCTCACACGGAGAAGTGTTTGATGAGTGATCCAGTTTGCATGGGGTTCGGTGTGGTCGAAGAGCTGTACCCCTCCGCCCCTCTCACTCGACTTGAAAGCAAACGTCAGGATATGAGGTTAAGTTTGACCACCACACACAACCTCGTGGGGAGTGGGATAGAGGGCGTGCCTACCTCTACTGACCTCACACGGGCCTTGGTGGAGGGTGGGATAGAGGGAGTGCCTACCTCTATAGACCTCACACCCGTGGCACCACCTAGGAGGAAGAGAGATGCCAGGAAGAGAGCCATGAATTGGAACAGTGACTCAGGTTCATCTTCAACGCCAGGCACTCCCCAGAGCTTCACCATGTCAACGCCTGGCACTCCTCAGAGCCTCGTCATGTCAACGCCAGGCACTCCTCAGAGCCTCGTCATGTCAACGCCAGGCACTCCTCAGAGCCTCGCCACGTCAACGCCAGGCACTCCTCAGAGCCTCGTCATGTCAACGCAGGCACTCCTCAGAGCCTCGCCATGTCAACGCCAGGCACTCCTCAGAGCCTCGCCATGTCAACGCCAGGCACTCCTCAGAGCCTCGCCATGTCAACGCCAGGCACTCCTCAGAGCCTCGTCATGTCAACGCCAGGCACTCCTCAGAGCCTCGCCATGTCAACGCCAGGCACTCTCAGAGCCTCGTCATGTCAACGCCAGGCACTCCTCAGAGCCTCGCCATGTCAACGCCAGGCACTCCTCAGAGCCTCGTCATGTCAACGCCAGGCACTCCTCAGAGCCTCGTCATGTCAACGCCAGGCACTCCTCAGAGCCTCAAAGTATCACTGCGCACTCCACGACCTCCTCCTCTCCGTCATGACCTCTCTACTTTAGATAGCGAGGCCAACAAACTCAATAAATACTGTTCCTCAGACACCCTTATCTCCCCTTACACCAGATACCCCCCTTGATACTCCCCTTACACCAGATACCCCTCATACTCCAAGCACACCAGGTAGCGCCTCATCCAACAGTTCCTTTCTCTTACCACCGATCACCGTGACAGAGGGCTAAGAGATCCCTGACCCTAGACGATAGACGCACAGCTAAACGCAAATAAGGAAACCGAAGATACGTCACCTGTCCACAAACGTCGTAGTATAGAAGACGTTATCCAATCACGTCATCGTAGAGAATTCCGACGGAGTATTAGCGAATTAGGTGACGTAACTACCAAAGACGTCACTAACAAGGCCAGACGTACGAATAGTGATGCCGACGTTAAACAAGACAAGGAGACGATGTCGTTTAGGGAGAAATTCTTTAGGAGTAGTGTCAAGGGGAAGACCTCACTCAGTCTTCCCAGTAGAACCATGCAAAGGATTAGGAGTGTTAGAAGATCCGGAAGGAGACGCAAGGAGCAAGAAGGAGGTGGTGGAGCATCGAATTCTGACGGGGAAGAAGGTGAGTTTGTCTGTCTGTCTGTCTGTTACTGTCTGTCTGTCTGTTACTGAGTGAGTGTCTGTCTGTGTGTGTGTGTGTGTGTGTGTGTGTGATGAGAAATAATTATACAAGAGACCCGATTTATTGTGTTTTATTAGTAGTGTGGCCATGTTGAGGTGTGTGTGTGTGCATGTGTAGTCAAAGTGGCCATGTTGAGGTGTGTGTGGCCATGTGTAGTCAAAGTGGCCATGTTGAGGGGTGTGTGGCCATGTGTGGTCAAAGTGGTCATTATTGAGGGGTGTGTGGCCATGTGTAGTCAAAGTGGTCATTATTGAGGGGTGTGGCCATGTGTAGTCAAGGTGGCCATGTTAAGGTGTGTGTGGCCATGTGTAGTCAAAGTGGCCATGTTGAGGTGTGTGTGGCCATGTGTAGTCAAAGTGGCCATGTTGAGGGGTGTGTGGCCATGTGTCGTTAAAGTGGCCATGTTGAGGAATGTTTGGCCATTTTTAACCAATATGGTCCTCATCAAGTTAAATATCATTGTGATGTGGCCTTAACCAAAAGGTGGCCATCATGAAGTCTGTACGGCCATGAATAACCAAAAGTGGCCAGTAGACCCTGGATGTTGGTGTGTGGCCCTGGACAACCAAGATGGCCCAGGAGATGGCTATGTATGTTGTAAGTGACTCGCTTATCACTGAGAGCATCCGTTCGTTTCACACTACACCACGATCTGTCTGTCTGTCTGTCTGTCTGTCTGTCTGTCTGTCTCTGTCTGTCTGTCTGTCTGTCTCTGTCTGTCTGCGTCTGTCTGTCTGTCTGTCTGTCTCTGTCTGTCTGTCTGTCTGTCTGTGTCTGTCTGTCTGTCTGTCTGTCTGTCTGTCTGTCTGTCTCTGTCTGTCTGTCTTTGTCTGTCTGTCTTTATGTATGTATGTATGTATGTATGTATGTATGTACTGTATGTATGTATGTATTTCTCTCTCTCTCTCTCTCTCTCTCTCTCTCTCTCTCTCTCTCTCTCTCTCTCTTTCATTTCTTACATTAAACGTTTAGAGAGAGAAAAATTGACTGAGAAGAAAAAAATATTGGAAAATAAGGACAAAAAATTGGTTTCTTGTTTAATGAATGATATTTGCTGTCGTCTCGGAGGATAGGTGACTCTCCCTGACTCTCTCTGACTCTCTCTGACTCCTTCTCACTCTTCCTGACTCTCCCTGACTCTCTCTGACTCCTTCTCACTCTCCCTGACTCTCTTTGACTCCTTCTCACTCTTCCTGCTTCTCCCTAACTCTCTGACTCCTTCTCACTCTCCCTGACTCTCTCTCTGACTTCTTCTCCACTCTCCCGACTCTCTCTGACTCCTTCTCCTCTTCCTGACTCTCCCTGACTCTCTCTGACTCCTTCCACTCTTCCTGACTCTCCCTGGCTCTCTCTGACTCCTTCTCCTCTCCCCTGACTCTCTCTGGCTCCTTCTCTCTCTCCCTGTCTCTGACTCCTTCTCGCTCTCCCCTGACCTCCCCTGACTCCTTCTCCTCTCCCTGACTCTCTCTACTCCTTCTCCTCTCCCCTGACTCTCTCTGACTCCTTCTCCTCTCCCCTAACTCTCTTGACTCCTTCTCCTCTCCCCTGACTCTCCCTGAGCTCCTTCTCACTCTTCCTGACTCTCTCGGCTCTCTCTGACTCCTTCTCACTCTTCCTGACTCTCTCTGACTCTCTCTGACTCCTTCTCACTCTCCCTGACTCTCTCTGACTCCTCCTCCTCTTCCTGACTCTCTCTGACTCTCTCTCTGACTCCTTCTCACTCTTCCTGACTCTCCCTGACTCTCTCTGACTTCTTCTCCTCTTCCTGACTCTCCCTGACTCTCTCTGCTCCTTCTCACTCTTCCTGACTCTCCCTGACTCTCTCTGACTCCATCTCCACTCTGCCTGACTCTTCCTGACTCTCTGATTCCTTCTCACTCTTCTGACTCTCCCCTGACTCTCCCCTGACTCTCCTGACTCTCCCTGACTCCTTCTCCACTCTTCCTGACTCTCTCTGACTCCTTCTCCCACTCTTCCTGACTCTCCCTGACTCTCTCTGACTCCTTCTCCTCTTCTGACTCTCCCCTGACTCTCTCTGACTCCTTCTCCTCTCCCCTGACTCCTCTCTGACTCCTTCTCCCTTTCTCCCTGACTCTCTCGGCTCCTTCTCCTCCCCTGACTCTCCTGACTCCTCACTCTCCCCAGCTCTCCCTGACTCCTGACTCCTTCTCACTCTCCCTGACTCTCCCCTGACTCCTTCTCCTCCTCCCTGACTCTCCCTGACTCTCTCTGACTCCTTCTCCTCTCCTGACTCTCCCTGTCTCCCTGACTCCTTCTCCTCTCCCTGACTATCCCTGACTCCTTCTCCTCTCCCCTGACTCTCCCCTGACTCTCTCTGACTCCTTCTCACTCTCCCCACACTCTCAGCTCTCTCTGACTCCTTCTCCTCTCCCCAGCTCTCCTGACTCTCCCTGGCTCCTTCTCACTCCTGACTCTCCCCTGACTCCTTCTCCTCTCCCTGACTCTCCCCACTCCTTCCTCTTCCCTGACTCTCCCTGACTCTCTGACTCCTTCTCACTCTCCCCTGACTCCTGACTCTCTCTGACTCCTTCTCCCTCTCCCCTGACTCTCCCTGACTCTCTCTGACTCCATCTCCTCTCCCTGACTCTCCTGACTCTCTCTGATTCCTTCTCACTCTTCTGGCTCTCTCTGACTCTCCTGACTCCTTCTCCCTCTTCCTGGCTCTCTCTGACTCCTTCTCACTCTCCCTGACTCTCCTGACTCCTCCTCCTCTTCCTGACTCTCTCGACTCCTTCTCCTCTCCTGACTCTCCCTGACTCTCCCTGACTTTTCCGTGGCTTTCCAACTCACCCTCCTACCTACCCACCTCCCTCCTCTCTCCCTCCCCTCCCTCCCTCCTCCCACTCCTACCCTCCCTCCCTCCCTCCCTCCCTCCCTCCTCCTCCCTCCCTCCTCCCTCCCCTCCCTCCCTCCTCCTCTAGCCCTCTCACCTCCCTCCCCCTCCCCACCACCACTCCGTCCCTCTCTGCTCATCCAGAAATCATTGTCTTCAACTTTCGTTTCGTCATCCACCAAACGTTTGTCTTCTGTTGGTAGTGAGTTATGATCTGTTCTGGGGAGGGAGGGAAAGTGGGGTGTGGGGAGGAGGGAGAAGGTGGGAGGGAGGAAAAAGGAGAGGTGGGGTGTGGGGTGTGGGGAGGGAGGAAAAGGGAGTGGGAGGGAGAAAGTGGGGAGAAGTGGGTGTGGGATGTGGGGAGGGAGGAAAGTGGGGAGGAGGTGGGGAGGAGGTGGGGAGAAGTGGGAGGAGGAAAGTGGGGAGAAGTGGGGTGTGTGGGATGTGGGAGGAGGAAAGTGGGGAGAGGGGAGTGTGGGGAGGAGAAAGGAGAGGTGGGGAGGGAGAAAGTGGGGAGAGGTGGGTGTGGGATGTGGGGAGGGAGGAAGTGGGGAGAGGTGGGGAGGAGGAAGAGGTGGGGAGAGTGGGAGGGAGGAAAGAGGTGGGGAGAGGTGGGGTGTGGGATGTGGGGAGGGGAGGAAGAGATGAGGGAGGAATGTGGGGAGGGAGGAAAGGGAGAGGTGGGGAGGGAGGAGGTGGGGAGGAGGTGGGGTGTGGGGAGGGAGGAGAAAGGGAGAGGTGGGGAGGAGAAAGTGGGGAGAAGTGGGGAGGGAGGAAAGTGGGGAGGTGGGGTGGGGGGTGTGGGGAGGGAGGAAGAGGTGGGGAGGGAGAAAGTGGGAGAAGTGGGAGGGAGAAGGTGAGAAGTGAGGGGTGGAGGAAAGTGGGGAGGGAGGAAAGGGAGAGGGGGAGGTTGTATTGAAGACGGGTTAAGTGGAAGAGAGAGAGAGAGAGAGAGAGGCGTTAATGTATGTATAATTTGTTATTGATAATAATGGTGTGTAAATTGTCGGCTTGGTGGTGGTGTAATGCGTCTAGTGTGGCAGCATTATGTTAGTGGTGCCGGGAGTCTCTAGTCACAACTCTGCACATGGCCGGCACAGATAAGATGGTCGTTTATGCACTGGGATCTAAGCAGCAGTGCAATCCAGTCCTGTCTGTGTGACTGAGCAGCCCTTTTGGGGAGCCACTCTGCTCACCCCACACGGGGAGGGGCTAGAAATGGTGCCCTAAACCTAGCCTGCCTAAAGAACCAACCTGACTGGGCAACCGCATCCAGTAAGGTCAACCTTATACTGTCGAAAACACAGCCAAAATCACAGATCCAAATAAAAACAAACTATACAACCTCTTATGGTCGCTGCATGGTATGTCAGGACCCTTCTGGATACTGGCAGAGGTATAACATCAACATAGCAGCCATTAGTGAGTCCCGGCTCTTAGATGAGGGCCAACTCACAGAACAGGGTCTGGTTACACCTTCTTCTGGAAGGGTAAGTCTGCTGCGGAGAGAAACAGCATTTATGGAGTTGGCTTTGCCATCTGCCAACACATCCTACACGGGCTAACTGAAATGCCTAGTGGGATCAGCGAGCGCTTCATGACGCTCCAGGTCCCACTGAATCACTCACGTCACAAGGTTGTGCTCCTTGGTGACTTCAATGCCAGAGTTGGCAGAGATGCTGACATTTGGCAGGGAACCATAGGGAGAAATGGACTAGGCAAGTGTAATCCCAACGGCCTACTCCTCCTCACCAAGTGTGCTGCACACAACCTCACTATCACCAATACCTTGTTTAGGCAGGCCGACAAGTTCAAGGGTTCGTGGTAACACCCACGATCCAAACACTGGCATCTCATTGACTACATCATTGTCAGATAAAGAGATCGCCGAGATGTCCTCATCACTCGAATCAGACCACTGTGACACTGATCATTGGCTAGTCAGAGCCAAGCTCTCACTTCACGTCGCCCCAAAACGGCGAAGGCAACACGCCTCCAGAAGAGGTTTTAACACTAAGTGTCTGGAGGATCCAGCGGTAGCATTGTCTTCAGAGAGCAGCTCGACCATGGGCTGATAAACAACCCGACAACAAACAACCCAAATCCCAGTACCAAATGGGATATTCTCGACACTGTCATGACAAAACCTGCAGAGACCCTCGGCCAGATCGACACAATACACCAGGACTGGATTAATGACAATGACCCGGCAATCAATGTACTCATTGATGATAACGTGCTGCTTTAACTGACTGGCAGAGCAACCCTCAGTCTCTGACCAAAGCTGATACCTTCCACAAGAAGAAAGCTGCGGCCCAGCGCGACTTCGCAAACTGAAGAACAACTGGTTTAAAATAAAGCAGTGAAGCACAAAAACTTGCAGATCAACAAAGGATGTGCGAATTTTTCAATTCCACTAAAATATTTGATAGGCCAGTCACTCAGGCATAGCCTCCCTCCGCTCATCCGATGGTAACTCCATAATTAAGGACGATGAAGGCATCCTTCAGTGCTGCTCAACCAAAACACCGATGTGGATGTCCTGACTACCCAGCAGGTCCCTCAGCATCCAGAGCTGACCCACCTCAGCTATCCTCCATCCCTGGATGAGGTAGCTACTGCCATCAAACAGATGAAAAATAACAAAGCCTCAGGGCCTGATGGAATCCCAGCCGAGGTGTATAAAGCAGGAGGACCTCTGCTTACCAGCCGCCTCCACTCTCTCCTGGAGAATATATGGGAAAGACGCCTCCATCGTCAATATTTATAAGAACAAGGGAAACCGGTCAGACTGTGGCAATTACCGCTGGGTCTCGTTACTTTCCATAGCTGGCAAAATTATCGCCCGAGTCCTCCTAAACATACTACTTACCTGAGGCGGAAAACTTCCTCCCAGAATCTCAATGTGACTTTAGACCATCACATGGCACCACTGATATGATTTTTCCTGCCCGCCAGATACAAGAAAAGTGCAGAGAACATGTGACCTGTATGTGGTCAACAGGGAAGCCCTCTGGTGGACCCTCAGCCGTTTTGGCTGCCCACCAGGAGGCAACTCCACGATGGCATGAACGGCAGTGTCCTGCACAACGGCACCCAGTCTGAGTGTGTACTGGCACCAACTCTCTTTTCCATTTTCTTGGCTGCCTTCCTAACTCGTGCTTGCTCCAATTTAACCGGTGGAGTGGACATCCAGTACCGGGTGAAGGGTCTTTTCAACATAAGACGACTCCAGGCAGGAACAAAGGTGTCGGCAGCTTCCATTACTGAACTTCAGTATGCAGACGACCTCACCCTTGTCGCTCACACTGAACACGACCTACAGGAGATCCTGAACACCTACGGAGATGCGTATGCACACTTCGGCCTTGAGGTGAATGTACGTAAGACTCTCGATCACGCCAACTGGGAGACAATTACTTCACACCTTAACGCTCTGAGGAGCACCACATGAGAAGGTGTCAATACTATCAAATTAGCCTGACTGCATAACGAAGCAGACAAGCACCAACTCCGGAGATGCCGCCGTCCCTCCCGCACTAGATGTAGCCCCCCACACGTGCCACATCTGTGATCGACCCTGCCGGTCCCGTATCGGCCTCTTTAGTCACCTCAGAACTCACCAACGAAGGTGACATCCTTAATAACTCATATCATTGTATCATAGCTGGATGATACTCGATTACCAGTGACAGCAAAGTAGTAGGTGGTGGTGGTAACCTGACCTAACCTAACCTGACCTGACCCCAGTTAAAGTACAGCATTAAGGTAAAGTCTTACAGAATTCGATACGGTATTGGAAATTGATGGTGGCGTGGGAGACACTTAGCAAGGCGTGGAGGGCGTGGGAGAGACTTAGCAAGGCGTGGGTGGTGTTGGAGTGACGTAGAGGGCGTGGCAGACACTGTAGAAGGCGTGGGGGGCGTGGCAAACACCGTAGAAGGCGTGGGGGGCGTGGCAAACACTGTAGAAGGCGTGGGGGGCGTGGCAGACTCTTTAGAAGGCGTGGGAGACTGTAGAAGGCGTGGAGGGCAGGCAGGCGTAGCAGACTCGAGGTGCAGGTATTCCGGGCCTCTTATGAGAATTCCAGTATAATTCACTGAATATTTGGCGGTGTGGTGAGACCCATCCCTAGTGGCGAGAGATGTGGAGAGATAATGGTGAGAGACCTTCCCTAGTGGTGAGAGGTAATGGTGAGAGACCTTCCCTAGTGGTGAGAGGTAATGGTGAGAGACCTTCCCTAGTGGTGAGAGGTAATGGTGAGAGACCTTCCCTAGTGGTGAGAGGTAATGGTGGTATTATTATTATTATTATTATTATTATTATTTGAAACACATACAATATTTACACCTGAAACTCAATCAACATTTTTTTTCCAGGTAAGACAACGACCCGGGAGACCGATCGTGTGTATGTCTGTAAGTACCATTATTAATTAGGCTCTGTTTATCTTACTGTATCCTGGGATTAAAATACGTGGGTTGGTTTTGTTCGTACTGGGATTAAAAGTTCCTTCCCTTGTTCGTACTGGGATTAAAAGTTCCTTCCCTTGTTCTTACTGGGATTAAAACGATATTTTTTTCCTAGTTCATTCAAGGTTTAATACGTATTTTTTCCTTATTCATACTGGTTGTTGTTGTTGTTGTTGTTGTTATTATTGGTTGTTGTTGTAAGAACGTAACAAAAATGCACCACGGTTATCATTTCGTTATTTATTTATTTATTAATTTATTTTACTTTTTTTTTCTTTTTTACATTTATAAGTTTATATATTAGTTGATATACATTTATTATTATTTATTGACACCTCCTTACAGCCTTGGTAAGTGAAGCCAGAAGCGTTACAGCGCCCAATAGGAAGCATGTTGTGTCATGCTTTGACTTATGTCTCATGAGTCAAGGGCGTAGAAGCCTGAAGAGTCAAGGAGTAGAAGACTGAAGAGTCAAGGGAGTAGAAGCTTGAAGAGTCAAGGGAGTAGAATTAAGAGTCAAGGGAGTAGAAGCCTGAAGAGTCAAGGGCGTAGAAACTGAAGAGTCAAGGGAGTAGAACCTGAAGAGTCAAGGGAAGCAGAACCTGAAGAGTCAAGGGCGTAGAAGCCTGAAGAGTCAAGGGAGTAGAAGCCTGAAGAGTCAAGGAGTAGAAGCCTGAAGAGTCAAGGGAGTAGAAGCCTGAAGAGTCAAGGGAGTAGAAGCCTGAAGAGTCAAGGGCGTAGAAGCCTGAAGAGTCAAGGGAGTAGAAGCCTGAAGAGTCAAGGGAGTAGAAGCCTGAAGAGTCAAGGGCATAGAAGCCTGAAGAGTCAAGGGCGTGAAGCCTGAAGAGCAAGGGAGAAGAGCCATGAGTAGAAGCCTGAAGAGTCAAGGGCTTGAAGAGCTGTGGCGGGCGTAGAAGCTCGAAGAGTCAAGGGAGAAGCCTGAAGAGTCAAGGAGAGAAGAAGAGTCAAGGGAGTAGAAGCCTGAAGAGTCAAGGGCGGTATCAGAAGAGTCAAGGGAGTAGAAGCCTGAAGAGTCAAGGGCGTAGAAGCCTGAAGAGTCGGGAGGTAGCCTGAAGAGTCGGCAGAAAGCCTGAAGAGCTGGCGGGCGTAGGCCTGAAGAGTCAGGGGAGTAGAAGCCTGAAGAGTCGGGCGAGTAGAAGCCTGAAGAGTGGCGGAAGCCTGAAAGAGTTGGGGCGTAGAAGCCTGAAGAGTCAAGGAGAGAAGCCTGAAGAGTCAAGGAGTAGAAGCCTGAAGAGTCAAGGAGTAGAAGCCTGAAGAGTCAAGGGGTATTGAAGAGCTGGCGGGAAGGCCTGAAGAGTCAAGGGAGAGAAGCCGAAGAGTCAAGGAGTAGAAGCTTCGAAGAGTCAAGGGCATAGAAGCCTGAAGAGTCAAGGGCGTAGAAGCCTGAAGAGTTAAGGGAGTAGAAGCTCAGAGTCAAGGGAGTAGAAGCCTGGAAGAGTCAAGGGAGTAGAAGCCTGAAGAGTCAAGGGCGTAGAAGCCTGAAGAGTCAAGGGGAGTAGAAGCCTGAAGAGTCAAGGCGTAGAAGACTGAAGAGCTGGCGGGCGTAGAAGCCTGAAGAGCTGGGCGTAGAAGCCTGAAGAGTCAAGGGCGTAGGCCCGAAGAGTCAAGGGAGTAGAAGCCTGAAGAGCTGGCGGCAGGAAGCCTTGAAGAGTCAAGGGCGTAGAAGCCTGAAGAGTCAAGGGCATAAAAGCCTGAAGAGTCAAGGGCGTAGAAGTCTGGAAGAGTCAAGGGCGTAGAAGCCTAAGAGTCAAGGGCGTAGATTTGAAGAGTCAAGGCGTAGAAGCCTGAAGAGTCAAGGGCGTAGAAGCCTGGAAGAGCTCAAGGGCGGTGAAGCCTAAGAGCTGGCGGCGTAGAAGCCTGAAGAGCAGGGCGTAGAAGCCTGAAGAGTCAAGGGCATAGAAGCCTGAAGAGTCAAGGGCGGTACTGAAGAGCCAAGGAGAAGAGTCAAGGGCGTAGAAGCCTGAAGGATCAAGGCGGGGGTGTAGAAGCCTGAAGAGTAAGGGCATAAAAAGCCTGAGAGTCAAGGGCGAAGCCTGAAGAGTCAAGGGCGTAGAAGCCTGAAGAGTCAAGGGCGTAGAAGCCTTCAAGAGCAAGGGAGTAGAAGCCTGAAGAGTGGGCATAGAAGCCTGAGAGTCAAGGCGTAGAAGCCTGAAGAGTCAAGGGCATAAAAGCCTGAAGAGTCAAGCACAGAAGCCTGAAGAGTCAAGGCGTGAGTCGAAGAGTCAGAGCAGGCCTGAAGAGTCAAGGGCGTAGAAGCCTGAAGAGTGGCATAGAAGCCTGAAGAGTCAGGTGAAGCCTTGAAGAGTCAAGGGCGTAGCCTGAAGAGTCAAGGGCGTAGAAGCCTGAAGAGTCAAGGGCATGTAGCTGAAGAGTCAAGGGCGTAGGCCTTTAAGAGTCAAGGGAGTAGAAGCCTGAAGAGTCAAGGGCGTAGCCTGAAGGGATCAAGGTGTAGAAGCCTGAAGAGTCAAGGGCGTAGAAGCCTGAAGAGCTGGCGCATGGCTGAAGAGTCAATGGTTTATGTGCTCAAGTTATTGGAAGCTCCAACAACTTGTCCCTGAAGACGAATTCGCAACTTTCGACTTAAACCAGGTACCTACTGTGCTGCTAGGTGAACAGGGACTAACAAGGGCTGGGAAGTGTTGATATACATTAATATGATAAGGAAGAGAAGCAGTTTAAGGTTGACCAAGAGGACAGAGCCGTCAGGATTATGTCTAGTTGGCAATGATGTTTATTGCAATGGTAATTACTTATCTATTTACATGATAATTTCTATAAAACGGTTTTGATGGTACAATAAAATCAGGTACTTAAAGTAGGTGTTATAGGAAATATTAATACTTTGACAATAGATATATTTTAAGAGATGATTTAAAGGAAGGGAGCGAGTCTTTGCTGATGGGTCAGTTGTTCCACACCTTCACACTGGGATATTTTAAGGAGAGGAGCACATGGGGGGTGGTCTTAGTAGCTCTGGGGGCCTTAAGTTGTATCTCTGATTATTACGGAACTGGAAATAATTATTATCAAGCAAGTGAGTCACAGATTTGTAAACAAAGAGGTAAAGCAGTAGGTGTTAATATCCTCGAATTTTAACATTTTCCATTTAGCAAATTATTCGTTTGTGTGATCCGTTTTTCAAAAGGTCATTGTTCGTACAACTCTTTCGTGTAGTAGCCAGTGAGTTTTGTAGAAAGGCATCAGGATCGATAAGAGGGAGTACTGTGTCGACCCCATGGGTAAAGGGGGTGTAACACATACGGTCTAGCACATCTAAGGGAATGATATTGATACTGATTCAGGAACAGTAAAAACTTAGGGTCACTGAGATGAAAAAAGGGGGAGATCTATGAAAATTATAATAGTAGGGGGGGGGTAACGTACTCACAAGTGCTACAGTACAACCCTCGGTTTTGAGGATTACCGCTTTCCACCACAGAGGGCAGACGTTGTTGTTACTGCTCAGTACTTGAACGGTCAAATAATACCTGAAATCAAATAGGGGAATCTTATGGTAAAAGCAATTATGATATCTCCTCGACGTGTACGTAATATGTCCGTGTTTGTAATGTGTCCGTGTACGTCATGTGTCCGTTTATGTAATATGTTAGTGTACGTATTATATCCATGTACGTAACTACAAACTTGAGCTGTGACGCATTATGACAGAAACCTGCGATCACATGCTGAGTAAAAAAACACCCTCAGTGCCTCCTACAGTAAGAGTCATTTCCCTTCTGCTGTAGTCCCTTGCGAGGAGGATACTGACGGCGGCGCTGACGATAGCGGATGTATCCTAACTAGTATGGAAAGGAAGTAACACAGATAAGAGAAATGATTGTGTCTTTGTCGGTTGAAACCCTAGTTTTGTTCGAGTGTTCAAAGGAGGTGGTTGTTAAGACGAATATGTGTGGAATTCAGGATTGTGGAGTGGTTGTAAATGCTGTTGTGGTGTAATTAGTGTTGTGAATTGGTTATTAACTATCCTGGGGTTGTTTTTGAGTATAACAACCTCTATGAAATCATTCCTGTGTTGTGGAAATTTGCGACGAAAAAAAAGATGAGTTTCCACCGCAGATACAACACATCTACTAGTCCACAAGATAATTCCAAAACATCATTGCGACGAACTGCATCTGCCATCCTATTAGAGGGTGCCACTAGTACCCCTGGACATCCTAAGAACTTACCTCGTTCTAGAAACCAAGTGGTAGTTCGTTCCAATCGCTATGATACGCCAACGCCACTACACCATGTATTCGCTGTGATACGCCAACGAGCGCCACTACACCATGTACGTGTAATGACGCGCCACCAATATGTGATAATATGGACAATATGACCCAACGAAAGAAGCCACAGTGGCATTTTGTTAGAGGAACGACTGTGCCTAGGGTAGGAGAGCCAAGGAACACCACGAGAGGGCGCCACCTCCAGAAAGGGACCTCATTAGACAGAAATACCAAGCTAGACCATTCTGTCTGGACGGGGAATGAACAGAAAGGGACCTCATTAGACAGGAACACCAAGCTAAACCATTCTGTCTGGACGGGGAATGAACAGAAAGGGACCTCATTAGACAGGAACACCAAACTAAACCATTCTGTCTGGACGGGGAATGAACAGAAAGGGACCTCATTAGACAGGAACACCCCTCTTGACCACAAGTACCGCATTCGTCATCACTCTGAAGGTAAACCGCCTTCCTTGCTTACAGAGAAGAAAATCAAGAACCCATCTGGATTTACCAATCTTTTTTCTCACTTCTCACGGAAAAGATCTAAGAGTGAGGACGGAAAACAAGGAGTGAGGAAAGACCGTAATAACAGCCTACCACGACTCGGTTTTCCTCATACTGACGCAGACGATGACGATGTTGATTACTCTACCTGGAAATATCCGTGGAGGAGAACGTTATCTTGCCACCATATAAACGATTCAGGTCAGTAGTTATTTGTGTGGTTTGGTTGTGGGTTTGGTTAGGGAGATAGATATCCTCTCTCTCTCCCAGGATTTCAGTCATGTGATAAGAAAAGTAACATCCTCCTTCCTCCTTCCTCCCTTCCTCCTCCTTCCCTTCCTCCCCCTTCTCCTCTTCCTCCCTCCTTCCCTTCCCCTTCCTCACCCACCGTAAAACAAATGAAGATCTGTCGACCTTACTAATGGTATATAATGAACTTACCAGCGATCCTTTACGAGAGGCCCGGGATTCAGGCGTTCTACTGGTGGAGTCGTAGCAGAGGCGTTCTACTGGTGGTGTCGTTGCAGAGGCCGTTCTACTGGTGGTGTCGTTGCTAGAGGCCGTTCTACTGGTGGTGGTGTGCAGAGGCCGTTCTACTGGTGGTGTCGTAGCCAGAGGCCGTTCTACTGGTGGTGTCGTTGCTAGAGGCCGTTCTACTGGTGGTGTCGTTGCTAGAGGCCGTTCTACTGGTGGGTCGTTGCTGGAGGCCGTTCTACTGGTGGTGTCGTTGCCAGAGGCCGTTCTACTGGTGGAGTCGTTAGCTAGAGGCCGTTCTACTGGTGGTGTCGTTGCAGAGGCCGTTCTACTGGTGGTGTCGTTGCCAGTGGGCCTACTGGTGGTGTCGTTGCAGAGGCGTTCTACTGGTGGAGTCGTAGCTAGAGGCCGTTCTACTGGTGGTGTCGTTGCTAGAGGCCGTTCTACTGGTGGTGTCGTTGCTAGAGGGCCCGTTCACTGGTGGTGTTGTAGCTAGAGGCCGTTCTACTGGTGGTGTCGTGGCTAGAGGCCGTTCTACTGGTGGTGTCGTAGCTGAGGCCGTTCTCACTGGTGGTGTCGTGTAGCCAGGAGGCCGTTCTACTGGTGGTGTCGTAGCTAGAGGCCGTTCTACTGGTGGTGTCGTTGCTAGAGGCTTCTACTGGTGGTGTCGTTGCTAGAGGCCGTTCTACTGGTGGTGTCGTTGCTAGAGGCCGTTCTACTGGTGGCGTTGCTAGAGGCCGTTCTACTGGTGGAGTCGGCTAGAGGCCGTTCTACTGGTGGTGTCGTTGCTAGAGGCCGTTCTACTGGTGGTGTCGTAGCTAGAGGCCGTTCTACTGGTGGGTGTTGTAGCTAGAGGCCGTTCTACTGGTGGTGTCGCATTAGAGGCCGTTCCACTGGTGGTGCGTAGCTAGAGGCCGTTCTACTGGTGGTGTCGTAGCCAGAGTGCCGTTCTACTGGTGGTGTCGTTGCCAGAGGCCGTTCTACTGGTGGTGTCGTTGCCAGAGGCCGTTCTACGGTGGTGTCGTTGAGGAGGCCGTTCTACTGGTGGTGTCGTTGCTAGAGGCCGTTCTACTGGTGGTGTCGGCTAGAGGCCGTTCTACTGGTGGTGTCGTAGCCATAGAGGCCGTTCTGCTGGTGGTGTCGTAGCTAGAGGCCGTTCTCACTGGTGGTGTCGTTGCTAGAGGCCGTTCTACTGGTGGTGTCGTTGCTAGAGGCCGTTCTACTGGTGGTGTCGTTGCTAGAGGCCGTTCTACTGGTGGTGTCGTAGCCAGGAGGCCGTTCTACTGGTGGTGTCGCTAGAGGCCGTTCTACTGGTGGTGTCGTAGCTAGAGGCCGTTCTACTGGTGGTGTCGCTGCAGAGGCCGTTCTACTGGTGGTGTCGTTGCTAGAGGCCGTTCTACTGGTGGTGTCGTTGCTAGAGGCCGTCTCCAGGTCGTAGCCAGAGGCCGTCTCTACTGGTGGTGTCTGTTGCTCGAGGCCGTCTCACTGGTGGTGTCGTTGTTAGAGGCCGGTTCTACTGGTGGTGTCGTTGCTAGATTGCCCCACTCCCCACCTCTCTCCCTCACCTCACCTCACCTCACCTCTCACCTCACCTCACCTCACTCTCACCTCCTCACCTCACCTCACCTCACCTCACCTCTCCTCATCTCACCTCCCTCACCTCATTCCTCACCTCACCTCCCTCACCTCACCTCTCTCCTCACCTCCCACCTCACCTCACCTCACCTCCCCCACCTCTCCTCCTCACCTCACCTCTCACCTCTTCACTCCTCACCTCACCTCCTCTCACCTCTCCACCTCACCTCCTCATCTCTCCTCACCTCTCCTCACCTCACCTCACTTCACCTCACCTCCTCACCTCCTCCCTCACCACCTCCCTCCCCTCCCTCACCTCTCCCTCACCCCACCTCTCCCTCCTCACCTCCCCTCACTCTCCCCCCCACCTCACCTCACCTCACCTCACCTCACCTCACCTCCTCACCTCTCTCCTCACTCTCACCTCTCCCCTCACCTCCTCGCCTCCCCCCTCACCTCCCCCACCTCTCCTCACCTCTCCCTCATCTCCCTCGACCTGAGGCAAGAGGCAACCACACCTCCTTAAATCCCCTCTCTCATCACCACCATGACCTGTGTCCATCCCCCTTCCTCCCTCTCACCCTCCCCAGACTGACCAGCGAAGGAGAGGGTGGGGGAGGGGGGAAGGAGGAGGGGGAAACGGATGGGGGCCCTCGGAAGAATTATTTCCGCTGAGGTTGCCAAGTCCAAATAAGTGGAATGGGAGGGGTGGGGAGGGGGGGTGGGGTGGGGTGGGGTGGGGGGAGGGGAGTCGAGAGGAAGAACCAGAAACCATTTAACCCACAATCTTGGGTATGGGGAGGTAATCGTTCAAGGACTGCTTCTCCCACCTCCCCATCTCCTCTCACCCCAACCTCCCCACTCTCTACACACAAACACACATGTACACACTTTCCAAACGCTATATCCATATATGAAAGACAGACAGACAGACAGACAGACAGACATACATACATACAGACAGACAGACAGACAGACAGACAGACAGACAGACAGGTACGGTCTAGTTAATTAGGGTGTGGACAGGTGAGAACTTAATCAGGGTTTAATTAGGACTGTTCTGAGGTGTGTGTGTGTGTGTGTGTGTGTGTGTGTGTGTGTGTGTGTGTGTGTGTGTGTGTTGTAAGATCTCTCTCTCTCTCTCTCTCTCTCAAGAACCAACTGACCTAACTGAAGGACCTATCCTGACCTGACCTGACCTGACCTGACCTGGGAGGGGTGGAAAACTTAGTCCCGAGAGAATGAGAGGTAGTGGGGAAGAGGGGGGAGGAGAGGGGTGGGGGAGGAGGCGACGTACAGTGGTGTAGTGTGGTGTGTACAGGGTGTAGTGTACAGTGTGGTGTAGTGTGTGTAGGGTACAGTGTGTGTGGTGTAGGGTACAGGTGTGTGTAGTGTGTAGTGGGCAGTGTGGGTGTGAGGGGCAGTGTGGTGTGGGTACAGTGGTGTAGTGTACAGTGTGTGTAGTGTGGTGTAGTGTACAGTGTGGTGTAGTGTACAGTGGTGTAGTGTGGTGTAGGGCAGTGTGTGTGTGTACAGTGTGGTGTAGTGGGTGGGGTGTAGGTGGTGGTGTGGTGTAGGGGACAGGTGGTGTAGGGTACAGTGTGTGTAGTGTACAGTGTGGTGTAGTGTGGGTGTAGGGTACAGTGTGGTGTAGGATACAGTGGTGTGGTGTGTGTAGGGTACAGTGTGGTGGTGTGTGGTGTAGGGTACAGTGTGGTGTAGTGTGTGTAGGTACAGTGTGGTGTAGGGTACAGTGTGGTGTAGTGCATGGTGTGGTGTAGCAGTGGTGTAGTGTGGTGTAGAGTACAGTGTGTAGGGTATAGTGTGGTGTAGTGGTGTAGGGTACAGGTGGTGTAGGGCAGTGTGGTGTAGTGTGCAGGTGGGTGTAGTGGGTGTAGGGGTACAGTGTGGTGTACAGTGTGTGGTGTGTGTGTGTAGGGCAGTGTGGTGTGTAGTGTGTGGGTGTAGGGGCATGTGTGTGGGTGTAGGGCACAGTGGGGTACAGTGGGTGTAGTAGGGTACAGTGTGGTGTAGGGGTACATGTGTACAGTGTGGTGTGTAGCAGTGTGTGTAGTGTGGTGTAGGGTACAGTGTGGTGTGTGTGGTGTAGGCAGTGTGGTGTAGTGTGGTGTGAGGGCACAGTGTGGTGTGTGGTGTAGGGGTACACAGTGTGGTGTAGTGTACAGTGTGTGGTGTAGTGTGAGGGTACAGTGTGGTGTAGTGTGGTGTAGGTACAGTGTGGTGTAATGTGTGTAGGCGTGGTGTAGTGTGTGTGGGTACAGTGTGGTGGGTGCAGGTATGGGGCAGTGTGGGTGAGGGTACAGTGTGGTGTAGTGTGGTGTAGGGGTACAGTGTGGTGTGTGTACAGTGGTGTAGGGTAGTGTGGTGTAGTGTGTGCATGTGGTGTGGTGTAGGGTACAGTGTGGTGCAGGGTGTAGGGTGTGTGGTGTGTGATGGTGGGGCAGTGTGGTGTAGTGTGGGTGTAGGGCAGTGGTTGTAGGGTACAGTGTGTACAGGTGGTGTAGTGTACAGTGTGGTGTAGTGTGTGGTGTAGGTACAGTGTGGTGGTGGGGTGTAGGGCAGTGGTGTGTGGTAGGGGTACAGTGGTGTAGGGTACAGTGTGGTGTAGGGGCAGTGTGGTGTAGGGTACAGTGTGGTGTAGGGACAGGTGGTGTAGGGTACAGTGTGGTGTGTAGTGTGGTGTGGTACAGTGTGGTGTGTGTGGTGTAGGGGCAGTGTGGTGTAGTGTGGTGTAGGTACAGTGTGGTGTGGTGTAGGGTACAGTGTGGTGTAGTGGGTGTGGCACAGTGTGTGGGGGTGTGGTGTAGTGTGTGTAGGGCAGTGTGTGGGTGGTGTGTGTAGGGTACAGTGGTGTAGTGTGGTGTGGGGAGTGGTGGTGTGGTGTGGGGTAAGGGGTGTAGTGTGGTGTAGGCATGGTGTGGTGTGGTGTAGGGGTACAGTGTGTAGGGGTACAGTGTGTAGGGGTACAGTGTGGTGTAGGGGTACAGGTGTGTGTGTAGGGGCAAGGTGTGGTGTAGGGGTACAGGGTGTAGGGGCAGTGTGGTGGGGCAGTGTGTGTAGTGTACAGTGTGGGTGTAGTGTAGGGTACAGTGTGGTGTACAGTGTGGTGTGAGGGGTACAGTGGTGTGAAAGGCGGTGTGGGGCAGTGGTGTAGTGTGGTGAAGTGTGGTGTAGGTGTAGGGTGCTTGTGGGTGTAGGTGCATGTGGTGTAGGTGCAGGTGGTGTAGTGTGGTGTAGGGTACAGTGTGGTGTAGGTACAGTGTGGTGTAGGGTACAGTGTGGTGTAGGGTCAGTGTGGTGTAGGGGTACAGGTGTGTGTGGTGTAGGGTACAGTGTGTGTGTAGGGGTACAGTGTGGTGTAGGGTACAGTGTGGTGTGTAGTGTGGTGTAGGGCAGTGTGCTACAGTGTGGTGTAGGGTACAGTGTGGTGTGAGGGTGCACAGGTGGTGTAGTGTGGTGTAGGGGAAGGTGTGTAGGGTACAGTGTGGTGTGTGTGTGGTGTAGGGCACAGGTACAGTGTGGTGTAGGGTACAGGTGGTGTAGGGCAGTGTGTGCGGGTACAGGTGGTGTGTGCAGGTGCTACAGTGTGGTGTAGGGTACAGGGTGTGGGGTACAGTGTGGCATGTGTGTGTGTGTGTAGGGTACAGTGTGTGTGGAGGGTACAGTGTGCTACAGTGTGGGTGAGAGTGTGCTACAGTGGTGGTACAGTGTGGTGTAGGGCACAGTGTGTGGTGTAGGTACAGTGTGAGGGTACAGTGGTGTAGGTGTGGTGTAGGGTACAGTGTGCACAGTGTGGTGTGGTGGTGTAGGGTACAGGTAGGGCACAGTGTGGTGTAGGGCACAGGGGTGGTGTAGGGTACAGGTAGGGTACAGTGTGTTACAGTGGTGTAGGGTACAGTGTGTGTAGGGTGTAGAGCACAGTGTGGTGTAGGGTACAGTGGCAGTGTGTGGGCAGGGTGAGCAGTGTGCTACTGTGTGGTGTAGGGTACAGTGTGGTGTAGAGCACAGTGTGGTGTAGGGGCAGTGTGCTACAGTGTGTGGTGGGCAGTGTGCTACAGTGTGGTGTAGGGTACAGTGTGACAGTGTGTGGTGTGTGTGTGCAGAGCACAGTGTGGTGTAGGCACAGTGTGGTGTAGAGCAGTGTGGTGTGAGGGCATGCAGGTAGTGTGTAGGGTACAGTGTGGTGTAGGGGTACAGTGTGTGTAGGGTACAGTGTGGTGTAGGGTACAGTGTGGTGTAGGGCACAGTGTGGTGTAGGGGCAGGGGGCACAGTGTGTAGGGTACAGGGGTGGTGTAGGGGTGCAGTGTGGTGTAGGGGCAGTGTGGTGTAGGGGTACAGTGGTGTAGGGCATGGTGGTGTAGGGCACAGGTGTGTGTGGGGTGGGGTGGTGTGTGTAGGGTACAGTGTGGTGTAGGGGTAGTGTGGTGGGGCAGGTGGTGTGAGGGTACAGGTGTGTAGGGATAGGGGGTAGAGCACAGTGTGGTGTAGGGTACAGGGTGGTGTAGGGGCTAAGTGTGGTGTAGGGGTACAGGTGTAGGGCAGTGTGGTGTAGGGGTACAGTGTGGTGTAGGGGTACAGTGTGGTGTAGGGCAGTGTGGGAGGTGTGTGTGGTAGGTATAGTGTGGTGTGTAGGGTACAGGTGGTGTAGGGTACAGTGTGGTGTAAGGTACAGGGTGGTAGGGTACAGGTGGTGAGGGCAGTGTGTGGTGTAGGTACAGTGTGGTGTTGGGGTACAGTGTGGTGTAGGGTACAGTGTGTAGGGGTACAGTGTGGTGTAGGGTCAGGGTGGGGTACAGGTGTGGTAGGTACAGTGTGGTGTAGGGGTGCAGTGTGGTGTAGTGTGGTGTAGGGGTACAGTGTGGGGTACAGGTGGGTGTAGGGGTACAGTGTGTAGGGGTACAGTGTGGTGGGGTACAGTGTGTGGTGTAGGGGCAGTGTGGTGTAGGAGCACAGTGTGTGGTGTAGGGTACAGTGTGGTGTAGGGGCACAGTGTGCTACAGTGTGTGGTGTAGGGGTACAGTGTGCTACAGTGTGGTGTAGGGTACAGTGTGGTGTAGGGTACAGTGGTGTAGGGTACAGTGTGGTGTAGGGGCACAGTGGTGTAGGGGCACAGTGTGCTACAGTGTGGTGTAGGGTACAGGTGGTGTGAGGGTACAGTGTGCTAAGGGGTGTAGGGTACAGTGGTGTAGGGGCAGTGTGGTGTAGGGTACAGTGTGGTGTAGGGTACAGGTGGTGTAGGCGTGTGTGTAGGGTACAGTGGTGTAGGGTACAGTGTGTAGGGTACAGTGTGGTGTAGGGTACAGTGTGCTACAGTGTGGTGTAGGGTACAGTGTGGTGTGGGGCAGGGTGGTGTAGGGGCAGTGGTACAGTGTGTGGTGTAGAGCACAGTGTGGTGTAGGGGCATGGTGGTGTGAGGGTACAGTGTGCTACAGTGTGGTGTAGGTACAGGTGTAGAGCATGGTGTAGGGCAGGTGTGTAGGCAGGTGTTACAGTGTGTGTAGGGTACAGTGTGCTACAGTGTGGTGAGGGTACAGTGTGTTTGTGTGTGGTAGGGCAGTGTGCTACAGTGTGGTGTAGGGTACAGTGTGTGTGTGTAGGTACAGTGTGTTACAGTGTGGTGTAGGGCAGTGTGTTACAGTGTGTGTGTAGGGTACAGTGTGTGGGGTACAGTGTGCTATGGGTGTGGTACAGTGTGTTACAGTGTGGTGTAGGGTGCAGTGTGTTACAGTGTGGTAGGGTACAGTGTGCTACAGTGTGGTGTGCCAGTGTGGTACAGGGTACAGTGGTACAGGGGTACAGTATTGGTACAGGGTACA